TAAAACAGTACGTTTCTTTACCTGAATAATAAAACTATGATGGCGAGAACCATCATAGATGACGAGTTCCCAACGGCAAGAAATACCGGGAGAGTAGTTGCACAAGGAGACAAGGCAGGGACAAGAACAAGACCGGCAACGGCCATTTTCTCCATGGGTTGGTTGTGAGAATGGCTGTGGCCACCCTTACCATTGAGATATAAAATGATATAGCTTCCACCAAGAACGATGAGCAACAAAGATGCAAGTTTGTGAACAGTTTCCTCCCCTGCTATAGTGTTTGTTATGGTGATTGCTGTTATGCCGAGCAGTGAAGTGGACAGCACATGCAAAACCGCTCCAAATGCAGCTGCATGCAGAAGACCAAACAGCATTCATCAAAATTTTATCAAACTATCAACAAATCATTTGTATTATAATTGAAAAAAGATTGTGAAATTTTGAGGTATGCAAAAGCGTTTCAAATATCCAAGAGGTAACAAGTTTGTAAGAACTCATGGTCCACAAGAATCACATTTATAAAGTTCGACATAAGTCAGAAATGAAAGCAGTAGAAAGACAGATTTCATAGTTTTAAAGCTTTTACATCTTTAAAAATAAGACATATTAACAGAGCTAATGGTCACTTGAATTTAAGGTGTTGGTGCCTGAGAACTTTGGCTGACATTTTGTGGTAATCAAGTAATCTGATGGAGCCTAACATTTGGGTTGATTAATACCCAAAGGTCAAATCAGTGGTGCCAGCAATTTCTAGCATCATGATTTGGTACACAAGGGCACAGTATCCCGGACAGAAAGAGCTATTAGTGATCATTTGCATTTCAGGTTCAATCACTGAAATTGTTGGAAGATCGAATAATGCAATCATTACGGGGAATAAGCTGCATCTAGATTTGTTAATCAACCAAAAAATCACATAAAGAAGAATGAATTGTGCAAAAACTGTACTCATTATCTTATTGGAAGGAATCATTTCAGTGAAATCCAAAAAACCAGCCAATTTTTAAATATATTCATTGATAATAATTAGCTTTATCAGACTAGATTCTACACAGATTCAACTTGCACTTTCTAAATCACTAACTGGAACAATATTTTTCACGTGCATTTTTTCATACTACTCCCTAATTTCCAAACAAGATTCATTTTTCTCTTGGCGCATTTCCCCAGGTAGGACGTTACAGGTTTATTACCAAGTATATGCTCATTTATAACGTGATCTAGCATACATAATCATTAACTGTACAAGTATCAGTCCCTTCCAGGAGTCTCTACATATTAATCAAACCCCGCACAAAATGCTGTTCGGCCTAAGTATATGCCCATTTAAGCCAAATATGAGTTGAAATATGAAATTTTGAACTAATTATTTCCACATTCTGTACAAATGATCAACCGTGCAAAATATATCTGATAGCAAATATAAATTAATCTACCAAAAGTGCAGAAATTATAAAAGGAAATCCCCCATGACAAACCAGAAATCCCTTCAAATTTCTCTTTTCCTTTCCAGAACCAAGCACTCAATCCTGGATCTTACACAATAATCAAACCTCTTAACACCCTTTTTCTCCCTTCGTAAGCAAGACCACACTCTTTTTAATCAAAAAGATCAAAATCGTAAAAACACATACTAACGAGGAGGGTACGAGAAAGCGTCCATTTCTGAGCACGGCCGACTATGGAGAACGGCAGCCAATGAGTCGGAATGAAGGAGTGGAGCAAGGACACGGTGGCTATGCCGCCGATCGTTGATAGATCTTCCGCATTGATGCTGAAATTTCCAGTCTCCATTTATTCTAGTCTTTATCGCCAATTCCTGGTAATTTTTTTCTTCAATTATTTTTTTTTTCTCTTCTTTGCAGATTAAGGAAATTCAATCAGATATGCCGGACTCCGTCACATTTCTGATGCATTACAGAAGTTGTCAGACGAGAATGACGGTAGATGGAGAGAGCAAGAATTGAGATTTTGTGTGGGCTTTGAAAAATTTTAGTCTTACCTGAAACTTTTGTTTTATATTTATACATATCAGTGCAACTGCACAGCTAATTGATAAAAAAAATATGGTTTGGTCAATAAAACTAGTACGATTATGGTGGTAAAATATATTAATTGATATTTATAAATTTAAGATTTTTATCAAATAATATTTATAAATTAGAAACATGGAATAAATATGTAATACAATGTACCTATATAATTTATTGAGAATGTTGTATAAAATTTAAATTGTGCAAAATTACATAAAAATGTCTATTTGAAATTAGTACGCATCCCGTACGTTGCACATAATTGATAATAAATTACATTATATCATTTCAAAATATGTGTCATTTCAAAATTTTTATTCAGAAACTTGATTTGACTATAACGTGATTCCATAAAATAATTATTTTGGTAAAATTTTATCATATATATAAAAATCTATGTGAATAATAAGTATAAATATAAAAAATATATTGTTTAATTAATTAAAATAAATTTATTTTTCTATAAAATATTCAAATAAAAAAATTTAAGTAGTTGAGTAAAAGCAATCAGTCGTAAGATTTTTTATGCCAAAAAAATCTACACTCTTTATCATGCTAAAAAAATGAACAGTGCATTTTACACAAAAATTATTTGAAATGTCGTAACAAGAAATGAATTAAATCGAGACCCACTAATTATACAAAAAAAAAAAATGACCTGTACTTTTTCTACAAAAAATATTGATCCACACATATTATATCAAAGTATCAGTTCATATTATTGTCTCATTTGCTGATATTTCCAAGCCACAAAAGTTGTTGCCTTTTCCCGTTGTTGTTCACTCTATTCTTATGCATGTTGGAGTCAAGATGGACTCCAGAATTAGTGATGTTTCTGTTAGGATCTATGAGGATCTCGTTATGTACAAGTTACGAATTCAATAGCAAACGTAAACCTATGCGCAACGGATCTAAAGGTTTGACGTTGAAAATTTACGGCTTAAAACTTTCTAAATCTGATGGATTCGGGATGACCGGGAACAGCACACGAACGGAACTGGATCACACGAACGGATGGCAGGGATCGACTCGTCGGATCGGGTCGTGTGGGGTGGTGGTCGTCTCGTGCGGAGCTCGCCAGAATCGGGTCGCGGGGTCGCCGGCGGGTCGCGATCTTCGGCGGTCGGTCGATTAATATATGTCTCAGTTGCCTCAAGATCTTCTACTGTATTACTCACACACCTCTTCAACTCGTACCGGTGGAGCAACGAGAAGAAGATAAAGCTCGATTGAGATCTAGAGAGAGATAGAGAGGGGCGGCCGAATTCTCACGTGTAATGTGATAGATCTGCTCTCTTTTCATGAGCTTAATGATGTATATATAGAGCTACAGTAGGGATCCTTAGGAGATTAGGTGTAGGACTTCTTAATTAATGGATGTGAGCCAAGCCCCAATTAATTAAATAATATTACGGTCCACTAACGTAATATTATTGCACTCCCTTTTCCTTGCCCAAATGACATTTGAGACTCCAATTATAATTACCCGAATTACCTCCCCATGTTTAAGATATAATGTCCATTAGTTAATTCGATTACTGACAATAAGAATTAATTAATGCATTATTATTTCACCGAAGCTAGCGCTCGTTCATCACATTATTATTATGTCGGAACTTAATCCACCTGCAGGGTTTAGCATAACAATCCTTCATGAACTCACTTCGGAGACATCATCAAACTAACGCACATAGTGACCGTAAATATCCTAACAACACATCATACATACAACAATATTACCCAAGACAGTAGGAATATTAATCCAACAAACTGAACCTCACCCAAGTGAATCAAAGTAATATGTAGTGCATGTATATGTCTGTTTAATATCTTACGGGTTAAGAGAACGCAGTAATTAACCGAGGCCTAGTTCGTTTTCGACGATCAGTATAAAACAAACTTTTTCTCTCTGGGATCCTGTTCAATACATAAATGTACAAGTGCAACTAATCAGTCAAGACCAACTGTACCGTTGGCAGTACAATAGTTCGGATTGGGTGTTCATTTCCATCTAGGTTGTGAACCACAATTCTTATTTCACAAGTAACTGATAGAATTATCTTTTGTTCGCCCGATGACGACCCATTCTATCGAAGTTCAAAACAACAGAATATAGAACTTGTTTAATCTAACATGATTCTCATTCATAATGGGTAAAAGTGTAATATCATCCAAAGCCAAACTTTTAGTATATAGCAATAACAGTTCCTGCACTGTCAGTCAAGCCATTGGATTTGTCGGGTAAAAAGGCTCAACGAAAAGTGCCGGTCTTTGTTAAGGCTTCTGATGTGCCAGTAATGCTAGGAAGTTTCTTTTAACAACATGTTGCACTGTTTAACACCCTTGAGAAGAGGATGTTTGATCAGCGTTGTTACTATAAGGAGATTCTTGGTGGTCTCAAGACTGGTGCGCATTTGGCTACTAAAGAGGAAAAGGGGAAGACAAAGGGCAAGGACAAAGGAGAAGCAAGCAAGGACAAAGGGGGAGCAAGGAAATGGAAGGATGTTGTTGCTGCCAAGGCAAAGGTGAAGACTGTTGCTGAAAAAATAAAAAATAAATAAATAAATAAATAAAAGGCCATGGAACCTGAGGAAGAAGAACCAAGTCCCGAGGCTAAGAAGCTGAAGATGCAGAGGAAGAGGATGTAGGTTCTTCGTCTGTTGCTGATGGAAGTGAAGGTTCCTCTGATGAAGGGACTTCTGAAAATTCTGCTGATTAGTTCTAGTTGTAATTGTCTACGTTTTGATAAAACTTTTAACTTTGTGGTTTGCTGGTAGTTGGGCATGGTGCCCTTAGGTGATGAACACCTTTTGCTTATTTTGTTTTCTGAATTATGCATGCTGGTATGGAACTTATTTTTCAATTGTTGGGTAATGCATGTTCTGCGCTTGTTTCTATTACATCTCAAAATTAATGCACGTTCTTCTAAGGAGCCTTCGCTTTATATGCCAAAAGGGAGAGATTGTAGATATTTGAGTTTTGGCATTAAATCGATGAACTCTAAATGAGGCAATGAAGCTTTATCAGACAAATCTGCAGGCAAAAATATTTAAGGGAAGTATGCTTTATATTATTTTAACTAAGTTTCCTAATATTAGTTATTTAAAATTAACTAATACTTTTATTATTTGTGCAGGATTAATAGAATGCCTTCCAGATGCACTTACCTTGTGAAAAGGATTTAGCCGCATGAGTAAGACATTTCATAATTGAAGGCGGCAGAATGAATCAAGAACTTTCCTTCTGGAGCGTGGCTTGGCAGCGAAGACACTTTTGACTTACCATAAGTGAGCCGACATATATGCATTGAGACGCGTATGAAGAAAGTGGTTCGGAAAATTGCCTTTTGATTCTTTTAGAGTTGTTCTTGAGTTCGAAACAATTTCTGTGAGTTTGATTTTATTTTTATTGAGTGGTGAATCGCGAGAGTGTTCTCGATCACGTTGAGAGAGTATTTTGTTTTGATTGAACTGAGTGCTCAGGAGGATCACTTAGATTAGTTTGAGGGATTCAAACTAGAAAATCCACAAGAGATTTGTGATCGGAAAAGTAATAGTGTAGGTGATTATTTTAAAGTAGTGGAGAGGGAGTTGACATTGTAAATTCTTTGAATAATGGTTGTAACATCTATGCTAATGAAAGAGTTCCGGAGGGAGAGCGGGATGCTTTCCTGAAGGCAGGGGCGGATCCAAAGCCCTTCCAGGTGGGCCCTAGGCCCCACCTAGAATTTTATATTTTTTATAATATATATTTGTAAGAAAATAACTTTAAATTAAATAATTTATAATTAAATTTGTTTATTAATTAGGTTTTTTTCTTCCTTTTCTCTTACTAAAATATTTTATTGCAATGTCTTATTTATCCATTGTATTTTTAAATAAATTTATCGTGACTTTGCATGCTACTATAATAATTAAAATAAATTTATCAACTAAGAGATGAAATTATAATAAAATCTTTGATCCAACATATTGAAAAATATTATCACTTCCCTATCCACTGCGAGTATTAATGTTTTAAAAGATTGACATACATTGTATGACATGTGATTTATTAATCATGAGATCTTGACATATGTACAACTTAATGTGTTTGCAGTTGGTAGATGAATAATTTCGTATTGATAATAACGCATTTTAAGCATTGTAATGGATAATAATACTGAAATATACAAATTGTATGGTGTTTTAATATTTTATTTTGAATTATTTAAAAAGCATACAATTTATATGTAATGGTAATTTTGTATGTCTTATATTGTGCCATTTTTTTTCGTTATTTCAGTTACTACAAAATTTTGGCCCCATCTCACTCAATTTGCTAGATCCGCCCCTGCCTAAAGGTTCATGTCTTGTAGAATCTTTACTTCCGCAATTGTGTGAACGTACATTCAAGATTACTGCTTTTCATACTTAGCGCAATTTTGGTTTATTACGTTGTTGACGGACGTTTCCGGTCAACGGTTAAAAAGTTTAGTAATGAAAAGATAATAGGAAAAAGACAAAGAATTATGGTTTAATTACGATTTTATTAAGAGATCACGAGGTCGGCCTCTCGTACGAGGTCGACACTTGCGATATACTTACAGTTTCTTACACGAGTTTCTTACAAGTTTAGAGAGAGAAAGTATAGAAAAAGCTTTTACAGTTGAGGTTCAACAACCCAAAAATAAATGAGGGGGTTGCTATTTATAGTGGTCTTTAATGCGGTATTGTTCAGGTACTGTTCCCCGGTCTTGTCATACAGTAGTTCGGCGGGACA